CATGTTTCTGTGAAGCATGTTGAGTCTTCTGTGAAAACTCAGGCAGGGCTAGAGAGACAACCGTACTGACCTTTGCTCTCAAACCCAAAACTGGACACCCTCCAGGGAATCAAATCAGTGCTTATACTACCACAATGCCTCACTTCTTCCTTCTCTGTTATTAGTGAATAAAAGATGCCCATTGCAATCACCTGACGTTGAGATATCCGGTAATGTGCAACCTGTCATGGCTCAGTTTTCTGCCACATTGAAGAGAGGGACACCAGAAGAGAGGGACACTGGGACAGAGCCAAAACACAACTCCAGAAGGAGGGTGAAACAGGGGTCATCAGAGGACTGGAATTACCTGGACAAATAGAGTGTGGGGCAGATTATGACTGAGTTTTGGTGTACAGAGAGGATGCAGATTCTTTATTGCTTATCAAAGTTGCGTCAGCTTTCACTAAATATTGTGATTGACAGCCCCTTGGCTGCCGGTGAAAGAACAAAGCATAGAGACTTACTCAATTCTCAGGATCTCAAATAACTGCAGAATTAATACTTAATGCTTACTCGCCATGAATTGATCATGAGCATCAGTAGAAGTGGATTTGACTGACACTGAAGGTCTGTCGCATTATGAGCTTGCTAGCCTGTTGTCATAAATAATGTAGAAACAACAGTTATTCCTCAGCAGCCACCTGGAAATTGTACAGATCTAAAACTTCATCAAATCAAATCTGCACAAAACTGAGATGAAAGAAGTGTAAATATAGACTGTCATGTTACTAAAGTTCAATTAATGTTAGTTTTGGCTAACGGTGTTACGTCATTGATTTAAATGTCAGGTTGACTGACAGGACTGTTCAGTGTCCAGCAAGTGCAGAGTGCAATTAGCTGTAGGGACACTTGATAAGGCCGCTCATTTATCAGATGATACGAGTCAGATATCTCTGCTACACGATGTGGGTCAAATCTGAATTTTTGGCACAGTTTTGTTCATTTTGCTTTGGCAAAAATTAATAACCTGGCTTCTGATGTGGCACTTAAAACTCATGGATTGTATCATATTTACCACATGTAGATAAAAAATTTGAGTCAAGCTGAGCATCTAGTCCAGCAAGAGGTGAATGATTCATTTAAACCTTGGTAGTTAGGTTAAATGGCCTCCGTGTCTAATGAATTGTTTAATACTTTGGCCCGGTCACAGTTCTAAGAAACTACCAGGCTGGTTACTTTGAAGGCTGAAGAAGTGAAGGAAGACCCCATTATATTTTGGTGTCGTAGCACCAGTAAAGGGTTGAGTTTTATTCATATATGTCCAAATGAGGCATTGCTGGATTCCACAGTTCAAGATCATTTCAAAGCAAGACATCTGAAATTGTATTTTTTT